TTTTTTTTTTGGTTGCAGCCATTATTGTTGTTTGGCGGGTCCAGGCTGGATTCGAACCCGCCACCTTAGGTGTACGTGGCTGGCGTCTTAGCCGCTTGAGCCACAGGCGCCGAGCCTCTCCCTCCTTTTGTTAATCTTCCTCCTGCCTCCCTTCTCCCTCCTCGCCCTGCCCCTGTACTAGAATATATTTGTATTTTAGGCTTGGTGTCCATAGCTCATGGTTAGGGAGCCAGCCATACGCACCAGGGTTGGTGGGTTCAAACCCAGCCAGGGCATGCTAAACAACAATGACAACAATAACAAAAAAAATAGCCAGGCATTGTGGCAGGCGCCTATAGTCCCAGCTACTTGGGAGGATGAGGCAAGAGAATCTAGAGCCATGACACTAGAGCACTCTACTGAGGGCAACATAGTGAGACTCTGTCTCAATAAATAAATACATTTGTGTTTTATTGTTCATATGAGTATGTAATTGTTTAAATATTGGTTTCATATTAGTATTGAGTACACTGGATATTTACTTTTCCATTCTTGCTTTACTAAGAACAATGTTTCAACTCCATCCAGGGAAACAAAATATGTATAGTCTCCATCTTTTTTCATGGCTGAATAGTATTACAACTCAGCAAGCTGCTTCTGCCTCAGACCTGGAACTCTGTCCCCCTCAAGACCAGCAGTGGCTTCTGTGCCTCTGGCATTAACAGCGAAAGCAATTCAGACCTAAGAGGAATTCCTTGGGCAACCTCCAAATACACATCAATATAATAGCTACCTCTACTTTCAGGTTTAGTATTTATAAGGGAAGAGCTGAAACCAGAGAAACAAGTTAGAGCCAGGTCTGAGTCCTTTTTGACACACGAAAGTTCAGTTTATTCAGTCTGATAACTAACGTATGAAAGTCAGAGGAGCAGAGCTCCAGGCACCTGTCTGCTCTCCTCTACGTTAGCTTTGGGCTCCTATTCCCCGCAGTTGGCAGACCAAGGCTTCCCAGCCTAGAACCCTATTAGAGTCTGCCTTTGTTACCTGTTTCATGCTCCTACCTCACCTGTCAGCATAAGGCCAGTGAGGACACTTGGGCATTAATTCCATCATTGGGATATTCAGGCAGAAACATTCTGGCTGGAAAGGAGATTTCCCTTCAAGGCCAATTCTTAAATCCCTGTGCCACTGTGAAGGTATGACTGAGAGAGGAACTGGTTATGACAAGCCCTGCTGAGATCAGCTAGAATCACCTCCTGCTTGCTACAGGCTGTTCCTGACTGACGTGCCACATGTACCAAGCCCATTTGCATTCATCCATCCAGGACAACAAGGAAGAGGTCTAAGAATAGAAGAGTGTCTGTGAACCTGCCTCAGTACTAGGACCAAATCCTCTGACATGTATAATGGTTAGTTATGCAAAATGCTTTTTGAGAATCAGAATCTTAGTCTTTTTTTTCCAGAGTCTACATTGTTGCCCCTGGGTAGAGTGCCATG